GTATTACTCCTTTACTATACTATATTATTCCTTTACTGTACTATATCATAATATACTATATTATTCCTTTACTGTACTATATTATAATATACTATATTATTCCTTTACTGGGGAATAATATAGTATATTATAATATAGTAAAAGGAATAATATAGTATATTATAATATAGTACAGTAAAGGAATAATATAGTATATTATAATATAGTACAGTAAAAAAGGAATAATATAGTATATTGTAATATAGTACAGTAAAGGAATAATATAGTATATTATAATATAGTACAGTAAAGGAATAATATAGTATATTATAATATAGTATAATAAAGGAATAATATAGTATATTATAATATAGTACAGTAAAGGAATAATATAGTATATTATGATATAGTACAGTAAAGGAATAATATAGCATAGTAAAGGAATACTACATTATATTATATTATAGTATATAATGGACACAAAAATACTAGCTGTTGGTTTCAACTACTGTCATGGAATCAGTTTTCTCTGGAAAACGTAATATCACTATAACATGCCAGATTTATAAAGTTCTCTCAAATAATTTGTGTTTCATCTTGAAAACAAAAGTGCTTATTGTCCTATGAAGCGGTTCTTGGTTCCACTTTAATAAAACCGCTGGTGTTTGCGACACGTACTGTTGACAGTTCTAATACTTAGATGATTATTGGTAATGTCTAAAGTGACAATTGTAAAGTTCCTGGGTATTAGTACTTGTCAAATGTTTTGACATCGCTACAATAAAATTGTCAGCAACTTCACAAAACTTATTTGGAAATCTGAACGACCCTTCAACTGAAAATGAAGATCTACTATTTTAGATCTCACCTTAAAGATAACTGTGGCAATTTATGACATTATGTATCTTGAAGGTACTATTGTTTTCAACTATATTTACAAAATTGTAATTCAAGCCTATTGGGCCCAGGCATGACCTGGTTGTTAGCGCGCCAGGACTGTGAACCCGGCAGCATTAAAATGGAATTTGTTTGTTTGTTTGTTTGAATGCACAAAGCTACACAATGGGCTATCTGTGCTCTGCCCACCACGGGTATCGAAACCCACTTTCTGGCGTTGTAAGTCCGCAGTCATAATGCTGTGCCATTGGGGGTGGGGGCAAAATGGAAATTAAAATATGATAAAATAATTAGAAATTGCCTTTTTGCAATTATAGTTTTCTCTTGGCACACTAGAGTGTTAAAATAAATTTCACAGTATATCATCTTAATTCATCTTTAGCTGATTAAACTACTTTTACCCGTGTAAAAAAACGTTGTCCTTGTTACACTAAAGTGTTAAAATATAATTTATAGCGCATTTTAATTACAACTGTGTCTATCCCTGGAAATCTTTTTTCCCTACGTACATATAAGCATTAAAACAAACTTCAGATGCATCTTACATTATTTTTATTTAAATAAACTATTGTTTTCTATTTAAACAGAGTAGAGCTAAAGTTACATTTTTTTTGCATTATTTCTAAGTTAGAGAACCACAAGTTGCTTCCCTTCCCTACAAAGTATACCAAGGGGAGAGAGTAGGAATCAGAAGATATATTGATCTATAACTAAGTATACTGATTCTAGTCAATCAAATTCATGTCTTCCTATTTGTAGCGAAGTACTGAAATGGAGGCTGAGTATGAACGGTGTTGTGTCAATTGACTACAGAGTAGGCACGTGCTTTTCGTTGTTCAACAGTGAGAAAAATAAAATTGTTCCTAAAGCCTATGTGGACAGTTTTTCTTATCGTTCTGTTCTAACAAACTTTTTGAAACATGAAATCATTTGAATTTTATAATAATATTTCTGTAAAACATATCTTCAAATGCAACGTTTGAATTATTAATACTCTTCGAAATTATTACTGTAAACTTGCAACCAAAGAAAAGGTAAACACGAATAAAAAGAAGCAACGTTATTTGTAACAAAATAGATGGTTTTTAAGGAAGCTACTTCGTTCTTAACTTATACAATGATTGGTAAATGCGTTCGTAGAAGCTTTTTCTGTGCAACCTGTGTCGTAATGGATTGGAGTACAGTGCATGACAGCTCTGACAGCAACAAAAAAGAAAGAAAAAGTCTTGACATATCTGAGTAAAGTAAAGTTTAAATTTTGTTCCTCAGTAGATATGTCAGTCTGCTAGAATATGCTATACTTCTATGTATAAGGTTTTTTCTGAATGGATGAAAAGGGCACCTGATAGGATTTATAGTCTCGATTCTGCTAGCAAGCAGCTGCTTTCCTCAACTGAACCATCTTATCTCGAATGCCTGAATCGAACACCCATTCTCACTTCACTGGTTATTACAGACGCATTTTGGCAGGATTCTTAGGCTATGTGAAACATCTTATGAAGCTCAGAATCTGTTTTTTTTTTTTAAAGTGTGGGGGTGAAAGTACCGACAATATATATAGTTAGGTTTACATATTTACAGTGTCCGGTATTTCTAAACCTATAAAGTTAGGTTTATATAGTTATAGTGTCCAGTATTTCGAAATCTATAAAGCTAAATTTACATGGTTATAGTGTCCAGTATTTCGAAACCTGTAAAGCTAGGCTTACATTCTTACATTGTTACAAGTATTTCGAAGTTTTGATTTCAGATTGGGGAGTAGATATTTTGATTTTTGTGGTAGTGTGATGTATTCTTATAAAAGCCATTATTTTATTTCTTTTATTGCAGAGTTACCTCGAAATTTGTCTATTTGCTCCCTGTACGTTTCGATCTTTGATCAATAAACAAACAACCAATAACATTTAGGATACCCAGATCCCAAACACGATAGTTCTTAGTCCAGTACCCGTTCGTCAACTCTTTTATGTCTAGCGCAGCTTGTTATACACCTAACCAAAATTACAAAAATTATTATATCTCAAAGCTATTGCCCCCCCCCAGTGGCACAGTGGTGTGTCTGCGGACTTATACTGCTAAAACCGGGTTTCGATACCCGTGGTGTAGCTTTGTGTTTAATAACAAACAACAACAATAACTCAAAGCTATTGGAACTGAATGTTTATGTTGTTTTTATCTTTCTGTTAAATTCGCTACTACTTTGTGGCTAGGTAGTTTTGATTTAGAAGTTAAAGTGAGTTACTCAAAGCTTGTCGTATAAGCGAATTTTACAAGTGAAATTTTAGAAGCTGCAAAACAGTATTACATTAAGATTTTCAAAAATATATAAACACTCTAACTAAACACACAGAGAGTAACCATAAATCATATTAACGAGTTTATTCTGAATGTGCAAAGCATTATATCATACACTTACCACACTCCACATGTTTATCTTTGTGGAAATTGCACAACTGGGCAACGACATGACATCTCAGTAGCAGAAATTGAAGGCTCTTGTCTCTGAAACAAAAGTACAAAGTTTATCTATAAACTTATTTGTCGGATACCCTGTACCTACACATGTTGGTATGAATATATTTATTAGGTAATCTATTAAAGCCAGCTAATAGGTTGTGGTTTAAATTCTAAAAAAAAAAAAAACACGCATAACCTTACGCAAAAAAATAGTTCATCCTGGTAATTTTTTGCAACTGTATTGAGACATTGTATGTGTGTGCCTGAGTATAATTC